ATCCAGTATATGCAGAGGAAACAAGTCCCAGTGTCATTGTCAATGGCTTTTCAGAAAGACTCCAGGCCAGCCACATTCAGAGAATCTGGCCACATTCAGAGAATCTGGTTGGATCACGTCCTCGTTCAATCCCAGTCCAAGTGGCCTTGGTAAACTCGCATTAGATCCGGCCCCTTGTATCAGTGGGTGATAGCATCCCTCGCAGTCCTTATTTCCTTTTTCATTTTTTTCATCCTTCTGCTCCTCATTTGGACCTTGGGGGGTTCAGTCCGGTGCTCCAATGTGGGTCTCCATCTGTATCGCAATCCATCATCAGATGAAGGATCTATGGTGATAAGCAAAATATTCATCAATATGGTTATGGGCCAAGGCCGGTTCAGGCACCCTCTCCTCTGTCCAGAGAACAATCTGGGGATCTCTCCTTGGACCTGGGATCCCATATATAATCAAGTCTCCTGTAAACCCTAAAATGACTCCATTAGTTGAAATATATTCTTCCCTGATCCCATATTCATCCTTCCTCCATCCCCCATTTCCGGTCCACCGAGCTTTCCCATTCCTCCCCTAATTCCTTATCTCTAACCTTCTCCCCTTCCAACAACCCCCCCCATTGCACCCGAGGTTACCTGGGACTCTTGTCTATTTCCTACCTCCTGGCGGATAGCTAAATAATCTTCATCAGGTTCACCTTCTTATTTAGCTTCTCTAGGATCACGAATAATAGGCTCAAAGACCTTTAATTATGGTTAGAATCCACTTATGAGTGAATATATACCGTGTTCCTCTTTTTGGGTCTGGCTTACCTCACTCAGTAAAGTGTTTTCTATTTCCATCCATTTGCATGCAAAATTCAAGATGTCATTTATTTTTACCGCTGAGTAAAACTCTAATGTGTATATGTTCCACACCTTTTTCAACCATTCTTCTATTGAGGGGCACCTACGCTGCTTCCAGGTTCTGGCTATTACAAATAGTGCTGCTATGAACATAGTTGAACAAATGCTTTTGTAGGATGTTAGGGAATCTCTAGGGTATATTCCCAAGAGTGGAATGGCTTGGTCCTGAGGGAGGTTGACTCCCAGTTTCCTGAGAAACCACCACACTGATTTCCACAGAGAATTCTCAACAGATGAACTTCGAATGGCCAAAAGACACTTAAGGTCATGCTCAACCTCCTTAGCGATCAGAAAATTGCAAATCAAAACAACTTTGAGATACCATTTTACACCTGTCAGATGAGCTAAACTCAAAAACACCAATGATAGTCTATGCTGGAGAGGTTGTAGAGTGAGGGGAACACTCATCCATTGTTGGTGGGAATGCAAACTTGTGCAGCCACTGTGGAATTCAGTGTAGCGGTTTCTCAGGAATCTCGAATCAACCTCCCTCAGGATACAGCAATTCTACTCTTGGAAATATACCCAAGAGGTGCCCTATCATACCACAAAAGCATTTACTCATGTATGTTCATAGCAGCACTATTTTTAATAGCCAGAACCTGTAAAAAACATAGGTGCCCCTCAATTGAAGAATGGTTAAAGAAGGTGTGGAACATATACACATTAGAGTTTTACTCAGGGGTAAAAAACAATGACATCTTGAATTTTGCATGCAAATGGATGGAAATAGTAAACGCTTTACTGAGTGAGGCAACCCAGACACAAAAGGAGGAATATGGTATGTACTCACTCATAAGTGGTTTCTAGCCATAATTAAAGGTCTTTGAGCCTATAATTTGTGACCCTAGAGAAGCTAAATAAGAAGATGAACCTGAAAAAAATCATATAGTTATCCTCCTAGATACTGGAATTAGACAAGATAGCCAGGCAACCTTGGGTGCACAGGGAGCGGGGTGGAAGGATGGGGAGATGGTTAGAGAGAAGGGAGTAGGGGAGGATTGGGGAAAGCTTGGGGGAATGAGATGGGAGGAGGGAGGAAGGATGGATGGGGGGCAGGGAAATATATATCTCAACTAAGGGAGCCATTCTAAGGTTTGCCAGATACTTGATTCTTGAGGGGTTCCCATGTCCAAAGAGAGATCCCCAGGTTGTTCCCTGGACAGCAGAGGAGAGGGTGCCTGAACTGGACTTGACCCATAACCATACTGACGAATCACTATCACTACAGAACCTTCATCTTGCGATGGATGGAGATAGAGACAGAGACCCACATTGGAACACTGGACTTAACTCCCTAGGTCCAAATGAGAAGCAGAAGGAGGGAGAACGTGAGCTAGGAAGTCAGGATCCGAGGGAACCTTCATCCGACGATGGATGGAGATTGAGACAGAGAACCACACTGGAGCACTGGCCAGAGACCCCAAGGTCCAAATGAGGAGCAGAAGGAGGTAGAATGTCAACAAGGAAATCAGTAGCACGAAGGAACCGTCATCTGGCGATGGAGGGAGATAGAGACAGAGACATTGGAGCACTGGACTGAGCTCCCCAAGCCCAGATGAAGAGCAGAAGGAGGCAGAATATAAGAAAGGAAGGCAGGACCGCGAGGGTTGTGTCCACCTATGGAGACTGTGGAACTGAACTAGAGGAGCTCATCAAGACCAGCTGGACTGGAACTGAATGAGCATGTGATCATACCAGATTCTCTGAATGTGGCTGTCAATGAGGACTGACTGAGAAGACAAGGACAAAGACCCTGGGTTTTGATTTTACTGCATGGACTGGCTTTGTGGGAGCCTGGTTTGTTTGAATGCTAACCTTTCTAGACCTGGATGGAGGGGGAGGACCTTGGACTTCCCACGGGACAAGAAACCCTGACTGCTCTTAGGACTGGAGAGAAAGGGGGAGGGGGATGGGGGAGTGGGAGGGAAATGGGAGGTGAGGAGGAGGTGGCAATTTTTAATTAATAAATAATAAATAAATAAATAAAATTTAAATAAATAAATAAATAAATTTGCTTGAAATTTTGCTTAAATGAAAGAACCTTTGGTCTTCCTGAATTACAACATCGTTTATTGATTCTTCCCAGAATGTTAACTGAAAGGACATCAATACAGGCTCTACATGAACTTTATGATCTTTCAAGGCTAAGAGAATATCAAAGTCCAGGTGATGCAGATGTGAGCCATCTATGTGAGCCCTAGCCCCACCGGGTATAAATGACACAGGCTGGAGACTCTTCAGCACAAGAACGCAGAAGGGAAGCTCTGCAAAGGACAGCACATACAACTGGAGGAAGAATACAGAGGGGAATATTGCTGACAGACAAGAGAAGATGGACCTCACTTCAACTCTCTCACTGGAAACCTGGGTGTTCCTGGCAATCAGTTTGATGCTTCTATATGTGTGAGTAACCACCAAAGTCCCTCTCCCACTGTGTTCTTGGGATTGGAATTATATTCAGTCATGCATTCTGATATTGACTAGAAGTTCAAAAGTGAAATATGAAACTGGGCTAGAAGAGATGGCTCAGTGGTTAAGAGTACTGACTGCTCTTTTAGAGAATCCATGTTTGAATCCCACCATCCACATGTGACTTACAATCATCTGAAACTATAGTTGAAGGGGATCTTTGGTCCTCCACAAGCACTAGAATACAATTTTATAAAGTGATAGCAGCAGTTGAAATTAACTCTTGTAGAAACACTTTGAATTTAAATGTTTTACTTATTGGGGCTAGCGGCAGCACATGAGACAATGTGTGTGTGTGTGTGTGTGTGTGTGTGTGTGTGTGTGTGTGTGTCTGTGAGTGTGTATGTGGGGCAAGATGAATAGTGCATATAAAAGGCGAGAGTGGCCAAGTTAACAACAAAACCATTGGCAGTTAGAAAAAGGCACAGTTACACCAAAAGCATGACAGCTATACAAATATTGTGACAGCTACGCCAAGAGGGTGAGAGTTATGCCAAAATTGTAACAGCTGGAAAAGGGCATGAAACTAGAAACAGTGACCTTACAAAGTCCATGAAAAACATTCTCAGCTGAAGGTCAGTAAGCAGGGAGGAGACCTGACTTATTTACAGAAAGTATAATTGGAGTTAAAGATGGGGTAAAATGACATAAAATGCCTCATGCCCTTGTGATCTCTATCAGGGGCTATAGGAGCTGTGGCTCATAAGGACGTGACTGCTGATGTGATTGGTTAATTCCCCTTCTGCTTTTTTCTTGGATTCTGGGTTTTTGCTTTATAAATTGCATGTTGTCAGGAAATAAATAAGTTTCTTTTTGACTCAACTCACCACTGAGTCAACTCTTCAGTTGGGCCTTCAGAGGGACCCCACATATGTGCAAGTGTGTATGTGAATGTGTATGTAAGTCAGAAGAAAACTTTCTCTCCTATCTTGGAAGTCTTGTAAGTCAAATTCAGAATAACAAAATTTTCAGTCAGTGCCTTTATTGTGCAGTCATCTCAAAGGACAGAAATGATGTGACAGTGGAGTTGAGTTCATTGTGCATGTTTATTTTTGGCTAAATAAACATCAAACAAGCGCCTATATGTGTCAGGCAAGTAATTCACTACTGTGGTATAGCCACAGTGGTACAAACTCTGGAAGTTCATATTGACATTATGCAGCTCTGATAAGCACACCATTACATACTGTCAACTACCTCTTGAGGAGGTGATAAGATTTAATCTCTGTATGACCTGATTGACTTTCATTTTACCTCTAGATTCAAAATAAGTGAGTAGAAACAAGTACTAACCACAGGCTGCCATGCACACTGAACTGCTTACCTTTTCTTTAAACTCTCCGGGAGATGGAGGGACAGCCAAGTTATTGGTTGGTTTCATGTTTTATTTATGTTTATTTCCTCTCTTCTATATGTGTCGTCACAACGTTTTCTGTTTCACTTATAGATTGGGGACCCAAAACCATGACATTTTTAAGAAACAGGGAATTCCTGGGCCCAAACCTCTGCCATTTTTAGGAACTCTGCTGTATTGCTACAAGGTGAGTATTGATTCCTGGCAGTCAATAATGGCTTGGTTTTCTATTAAACTCTCCTTGGAAGGAAGCTCTGAGATTTCATGCCCTCATGCTGTGTGTTCTCATGATACTAGAGAATGTCTAGTGGTTTCTTGGAGAATAATTGTCAACATAAAACTGTCAAATGCCTGCATGCATGTTTTTAAAGTGTGTATGCATGTATTTGCTTGTGCATGAGTGCCCATGTGTGTGCAGATGGATATGCATGGGTATATGAGTGTGTATATTGAGGTCAGGGTTTGGTGAAGGTGTATTCTTGATTGCTCTTCACTTTATACTTTTAGGCAAGGTCTCTTAGAATACCAGCTCTCTCTGACATCACTAGTTTGACTGGCCAGCTTCATTCCGGACTCCCTCATCTCTGCCTTCTGCAAGTGGGGATACTTGACAACTTTAACCACTGCCTGGCATTTACACAGATAATGGGAATCCAAACTCTAATACTTACGATGATGTCTCTTCCCACTGACCATCTCCACAGCTCCCATTGTCAACTTTCCCCATATTTATTAATTTTGGGGTAAGTGTGTATGTAAGACAGCATGTATATGTAGATCAAGAGGCAACTTGAGGGAGTCAGTTTTCTCTTTCTACCACATAAGACCTAGGGATAAATCTCAGGTTGTCAGAGTTGGTGACAAATGCCTTTTCATTTGGAACCATCTTACAGTGAGTCCTGATGTCAGTTTATTGAGCCTCAAGGTTGCCTTAGGTGAAATACACAGAACTCCGGTCCATTTAATCTTGATATTCACGACATGATGCTCAGACTTTGTGAGCAAAACGAAGCTTATTTCTTACCTAGTGCAGATTCTGGAAATGCACTTCTAAACTTATTTGAAGCAAATTTAGAGGGGGTTTCCAACTTTTAGGACATCAAACTGGATGCACTAGATTAAAATTTTCCTCTTTGTATCCAGAACATGAGCAGCATTTTTTTCTTTATGCTGAATATTTCTGAACCATCAGCATATTATATCTTTGTGGGAACTTTTCATGTGCTTGGGTTCTCTGCATAACCATCAAAACTTGATGCTATTTCTATAGATCTAGCCTCACCATTTACTTTTTATAGCAGGTTGAGGGAAACTTGAGAATTGTAATGGTTTCTTTTTGGATATTCCTGTAGGAATTGTGTCCAGGTTAGTGACTGCTTCTTTTAGAAGGACTTTCTTTGTATACATGAGTATCAACATGTGGGTTTATACACATAAGTGCAGTATGTACACTGGCCAAAAGAGGATACAGATTTCACTGATGCCAGAGATATTTATGGTTGTAAGGTGTTGGGTTTAGATTCTGGGGATAGAACATGGACCCTTGAGAAAATCAGAAAATGCTCTTAACTGTGGCATCACAACTCCAGGCCTAAAGACAGGTTTTCTTTTCTCTCTTTTTTTGTGGTGCTGAGAATGGTGTTTAGAGCTTTAGACATGCCAGCAATTGCTCTACACTGCCACGGACCTACAGCTGCTTCTCTTCCTTTAAGGCAGCAGCCTGTGCATGAGTATGAGCAGAAAGGATGTAACCTGAGACAGGATGATGGCTGTCAGTCACCAACACAGTGTGCTTTGTATTTTCATTGAAAGATGTTAAAGGCAAAAAAAGGGAAAAGGATGGTTTAAACAAATTATTAATAATGAGCATGTCATGTGCCACATTTAAGTCTAGGTAGATCTTTAGAGACAAACCTGATTTGACATCTGGCCCATGGTCAGTCATCGGCAGACATTTCCAAGTTCACATCCAGAGGGCAAGAGGCAAATCTAGTGTTGCCGTCTGTTCAGGTTTTCTTTCTAAAGGTTTTTATACTTAACTACCACATTCTTTAAAATAAATTATTATTATTATATTCATAATCATCATCATTATTGTGTGTGTGGTGTGTTTCTGGTGCTGTGCACATGTATACACCTATGAGTGTGTGCATAGACTACAGTAAGTTGTTTGGTATCCTGCCCTATCATTCTGCCTTTTCCCGATGAGCCAATCGGTTGGTGCCACTACATGAACCTAAAAAACTTTTCTCTCTCAGAAATGGTAAATCTCATTTCACAGAATTTGTGGGTTTGGTAACCTGGCTACAGAAGGGATGATACATACAGAAAAATAATGGATTTCATGCTCTTTTTCTTTCCAGGGTTTATGGAAATTCGATGTCGAGTGTTCTGAAAAGTATGGGAAAATATGGGGGTAAGTGTTCTGGAAAGATCAATGAGTTGATTCTTTTAAGGGGGTTGTACTCTACTTGTACAATGACTATGCGAGCTGAGAATTGCAGTAATGACTTCTCTGTTGTAAAGGTGACAATGAGTGTCATAAGTGCCATGGTTCACAGGTCTGATTATCCTGAGAACATTGTATGCTATAGAGTTTGGACAGGATTTGAGGCTCCATGGACTTTAGGCCACGTGTGTGTGTGTGTGTGTGTGTGTGTGTGTGTGTGTGTGTGTGTGTG